AAACTAGAGAGTTATGTCAAACTAGAGAAAGTTATGTCAAACTAGAGAGAGTTATGTCAAGCTAGAGAGAGTTACGTCAAACTAGAGAGTTATGTCAAACTAGAGAGTTATGTCAAACTAGAGAGAGTTATGTCAAACTAGAGAGAGTTATGTCAAGCTAGAGAGAGTTACGTCAAACTAGAGAGTTACGCCAAACTAGAGAGTTATGTCAAACTAGAGAGAGTTATGTCAAACTAGAGAGTTATGTCAAACTAGAGAGTTATGTCAAACTATAGAGTCATGTCAACTTAGAGAGTTATGTCAAACTATAGAGTTATGTCAAACGAGTGAGGTATGTCAAACTAGAGAGTCATGACAAACTAGAAAGATTGTTGTCAAAGTAGAGAGTTATGTCAAGCTAGAGATCCATGTCAAACTAGATATTCATGTCAAACAAGAGATTCTTGTCAAAGTAGAGATTCATATCAAACGAGTGAGGTATGTCAAACTAGAGATTCATGTCAAACTAAAGTGATTCGTGTCAAACTAGAGAGTTATGTCAAACTAGAGATTCATGTCAAACCAAAGAGATTCGTGTCAAACTAGAGATTCATGTCAAACTAGAGAGTTATGTCAAACTAGAGATTCATGTCAAACTAAAGAGATTCGTGTCAAACTAGAGAGTAATGTCGAGCTAAAATGTTAATATATCAGGGGATGGTTTTTCCAATATCTGTCTAAACGACGGTCAAATGTTTTTACGTTCTTAGCTGAAACAACACTGTCAGGTAGGCTATTCCACACTTCAACTACTCTGTTGGGTGTTATGTCATGTCAAACTATAGAGACGTGTTAAACTAGGGTGTTATGGCATGTCAAACTATAGAGACGTGTTAAGCTAGGGTGTTATGGTCATGTCAAACTATAGAGACGTGTTAAGCTAGGGTGTTATGTCATGTCAAACTATAGAGTTATAGAGTTATGTCAAGAGGGTGGAAGAGGTCTTCAGTGATGACGGTTCTGTTTGTTCCAAGTTGATGGATAGCAGAGATTTTATCGTCAAAGGGATGAACGGACGGCGCAATGTTGCGTTCAATGGGTAGTGTCATATGGTCGTGTTGCCGTGGGCTCTCTCTATAGAATCTCTCTGGGATATCTTGGATTGCCGTGTTCATACAGAGTGGTCATACACCTACATTAATGTGACCAATTCATACACGACTATGTGACTTATAATCAGTTAGGAGGGGGGGGGGGATTCCAAAATTGGAATTCAGCCTCAGCAATTGTCCCCCTATTGAGTCAGCCTGTCCCCTATTTGTACCCCCAGTCTCAGAAGGCTGACGCCGCCACTGCTTATACTGCGTAGGTTGTAGAATTTCCACGATTCTTCACCCAAAATTTGATTTAATAACCTACAGAGAAAGAATTGATTTAATAACCTACAGAGAAAGAATTGATTTAATAACCTAAAGAGAAAGATTTGATTTAATAACCTACAGAGAAAGATTTGACTTGTCTTTCTAGATGAGAGAATTTATCAGCGTATTGGTTCTAACTCTTGACTGGGTTATTACAAGTCTAAAAATAGATCCTGTTAGCACCTTACCTCAATCTCTAAACATTGTGATCTATTTATAGAATTGTTTATATCCTCGACTCGACACTGAAACTTCTACATTACAATGATCAACTCTGACTTCACCAGACTGAGGGGCCACAAATCTTTTACATACTTAGCTGAGATTTTCCTTCAATTTGAATCAGCTATTACAGGTGTATTACTGATCGTATCAAAAAAGAAAGTATTTTTGATGGACTGGGTATTCAGAAACCTGTCTTTACCTTATTCTTTTAATTAAAATAATCTGATTTAAATATAGCATTCAACATTTGATTTATTTAAGTTTCATTTAGGGTTGATATTCTGAGGGCTGATAAACTCATTCTGATAAAACTAGAGAAATATATATTTTGTTAGGATTTTGTTTCGTCTTTCGCCATAATCTGTATCTCATATATAACAAGACTTTTCTGGTGGACAAGTTTATCTCAAAGGTCATTTTTAAAGCGAATAACTCTTGAGTCTCAGTTCGAAGACTTTACTTTGAGATCCACTAAAATAAGCACTCTCACCCATTTAGAACACCCACGACACTTTGTGAAATGGTTTGTCAACTGAGCATCTCTTTCAAAGAGTAAACATGTTTAAGTCTGTCAATGGAGAGTCCACATAGCTAATAATGTTTATTTGGTATTTAGGTTTGCAACTTGGTATCTCTTTCAGAGAGTTCACATAGCTAATCATGTTTATTTGGTATTTAGGTTTGCAACTTGGTATCTCTTTCAGATAGTCCACATAGCTAATCATGTTTATTTGGTATTTAGGTTTGTCAACTTGGTATCTCTTTCAGAGAGTCCACATAGCTAATAATGTTTATTTGGTATTTAGGTTTGCAACTTGGTATCTCTTTCAGAGAGTCCACATAGCTAATAATGTTTATTTGATATTTAGGTTTGTCAACTTGACATCCCTTTCAGAGAGTCCACATAGCTAATAATGTTTGTTTGATATTTAGGTTTGTCAACTTGACATCCCTTTCAGAGAGTCCACATAGCTAATAATGTTTATTTGATATTTAGGTTTGTCAACTTGACATCCCTTTCAGAGAGTCCACATAGCTAATAATGTTTATTTGGTATTTAGGTTTGTCAACTCAGCATCTCTTTCAGAGAGTCCACATAGCTAATAATGTTTATTTGGTATTTAGGTTTGTCAACTTGACATCCCTTTCAGAGAGTCCACATAGCTAATAATGTTTATTTGATATTTAGGTTTGTCAACTTTCTTATCTCTTTCAGAGAGTCCACATAGCTAATAATGTTTATTTGGTTTTTAGGTTTGTCAACTTGAAATATCTTTCAGAGAGTCCACATAGCTAATAATGTTTATTTGGAACATGTATTATATAATTTCAATACAATATACCGTATTAAAATTCCACGAAAGATAAACATGAGTATTATATCAGTTAGACAGAATATTTCTACAGTTTAACACAAACTTCTACTTTCAGTTTATCATCACATCTGTAATTTCAACCTGACTTATCTGAGATAATTAACAAATTAAAGTGAAAGTAAGAAAACAGTACGAACTGTGTAAAAAAGAGAAGACTATTTTTAGAAATTTGTTGATGAAACTAGATGATAATAAATATTGCTACAGTTTAGAGAAATTACTGATATACTGTCTATTGGTTGTGTAATAATAAAGATGAAAAATACAGAAGTTTTTGTAAAGATACCGTCTGATTTTCCAAGCATGTTCAAATTAATTAAACACAAACCAAAAATGTTATGTGTGTTTTTTGTGATACACTTCACCAACCATATTTCAACTTAACTTACCCTGAACATTTTAAAAACAACATGTTCATTATAGTGATCGACCTCTATTTTATTTCCCAGAAAAAGATCTACACGAAGAGTGAAAATAACAGATATTCAATTGTTAGTCTGCCTGGAGTTATCTACCCTTTTTTAATAAGGTAAGACAAAACATATCTTTACTGTTGTACACAATGTTACAAACTATTTCAGATTAGAATCAAATATCACAGACTATTTCAGATTAGAATCAAATATTACAAACTATTTCAGATTAGAATCAAATATAACAAACTATTTCAGATTAGAATCAAATATCACAGACTATTTCAGATTAGAATCAAATATCACAGAATATTTCAGATTAGAATCAAATATCACAAAATATTTCAGATTAGAATCAAATATAACAAACTATTTCAGATTAGAATCAAATATCACAGACTATTTCAGATTAGAATCAAATATTACAAACTATTTCAGATTAGAATCAAATATAACAAACCATTTCAGATTAGAATCAAATATCACAGACTATTTCAGATTAGAATCAAATATTACAAACTATTTCAGATTAGAATCAAATATTACAAACTATTTCAGATTAGAATCAAATATCACAAACTATTTCAGATTAGAATCAAATATCACAGAATATTTCAGATCAGAATCAAATATCACAGAATATTTCAGATCAGAATCAAATATCACAAAATATTTCTTATTAGAATCAAATATTACAAACTATTTCAGATTAGAATCAAATATTACAAACTATTTCAGATTAGAATCAAAATCACAGAATATTTCTGTTTAGAATCAAATATCACAAACTATTTCAGATTAGAATCAAATATAACAAACTATTTCAGATAAGAATCAAATATAACAAACTATTTCAGATTAGAATCAAATATTACAAACTATTTCAGATTAGAATCAAAATCACAGAATATTTCTGTTTAGAATCAAATATCACAAACTATTTCAGATTAGAATCAAATATAACAAACTATTTCAGATTAGAATCAAATATCACAAACTATTTCAGATTAGAATCAAAATCACAGAATATTTCTGTTTAGAATCAAATATCACAAACTATTTCAGATTAGAATCAAATATCACAGACTATTTCAGATTAGAATCAAATATAACAAACTATTTCAGATTATAATCAAATATAACAAACTATTTCAGATTAGAATCAAATATCAAACACTATTTCAGATTAGATTCGAATATCACAGAATATTTCTGATTAGAATCAAATATCACAGACTATTTCAGATTAGAATCAAATATCACCGACTATTTCAGATTAGAATCGAATATCACAGAATATTTCTGATTAGAATCAAATATAACAAACTATTTCTGATTAGAATCAAATATAACAGACCATTTCAGATTAGAATCAAATATAACAGACTATTTCTGATTAGAATCAAATATAACAGACCATTTCAGATTAGAATCACAAACTATTTTTAAATTTATTCATATTTATAAAGCATGCCCTGTTGTTAAAAAACAGCTTGTAGCTCACTGTTTTACGTGTCATATTAATAGTTTACTAACTGAAGAGAAAATATTTTATTGAAAACTGTTTTTTTTTATAAATAAATCAAACCGGGGCTAGAAATATAACTGGTGAAATCTGTACATCAAGGGAGGTAATAGATATTTTATAGTGTAGTAAGTGTTAAATGTTGTCTGTAGTAATTAACTGTACACATTTTACATCTTATAGCGTTACCTTTTGGCTTTGTGATTCCGTTCTGACTTTTAGCTTTATATTTTAGCCTTGTTTCTACTTGAAATATTTTATATTAAATTTCAGCTTTTTTTCTATCAAGATACAGATTATCACATTAAAGCCATTTTCAAGTAGAAACTTTGTAAAAATAGAAAATGGGAGGTAACTTGTGTAAAATACTACAGTATACTCAGTGTAATCCGACATACATCGGGACCGTATAAACATGTCGGATTACGGAGAGAGAGTACTTACAAAAGTTACTACGAATAAATCATCAGTGACGATTTATGAACCTACGCGTAGGGTCCCGTAACCGCTTGGATGCGGTAAATAAACACATATGGAAACTGTTGATTGTAGCTTTTACCGTATTTTCTGTCACTTGTTTTGTATTCAAATTTCGCCGAAAGACTGGTCTATAGAGCATGACTGGTAAATTGAAATTACAGTCAAAACATCATTCTTACTCAAACAAAAATCAATATTCTTAAAAATATATACAATTACAAATATTTACAATAAAATACAAATTAACAGAAATATATAAATATAAGGAAAGAGGATTGGAATAGACGGACATCATAACCTCTTTTCTTAGTGTTGCTTGCTTGACTTAAACAATTTTACAAAGCTTACTATTCCTTTAAACAATGCGTAGTTTAATTCCGTAACATGACGTCATAAGGAAATCGATGACGCCGTAACCAAGCAACTACCAAAACAAGTTCAAATTCAAGTTGTTATTTTACCAAGATATGTATCGTCATAAACATCATATCATCGACTGGTAAATACTGGTAACTTACTTCAAAAAATACAAAATTTAAAATTCTCAAAAAAAGTTACACTTAATTACAAATATTTACAATAAAATACAAAGTTACAGAAATATATAAATATGAGGAAAGAGGATTGACCAAGAGATAAAAGATTGAATTGTGAAATAAACTTTATATCAATGATATTTCTCTGATCTGTGTGATATCAACTTGAATCACAAACTGCTTGTTAGAATTTAAATAACCATTGTTTTTATTAGTGAGTTTAGACCAGGTGATAGAATTCCACCACCTACACCAATAACTACCTCTCTCTAATCTATCGTTACTGTATGTATTAGTTATAGTTTTACTGTCATCATCAATATTCAATATACTGATTTGATAATCAATAATACAATAGTTAAATCTAGGATTGTCATCTGGTAATAGATTAATATTAATATGTAAACAACCACTACGCCTCATTACACACCAACTCAATACCAAGTTACTGTAACTAAACTTGTCTTGACTATAATACCATTCATCATCCTTCTTTATATCATTTATATTATAATAAAATTGATATGAATTAGACTCGTGTAGTTTGGGTATGTGATATTGTTTTAACACCATGGATCCTAACATGTCGATATTTAAACTAAAATCTTTTTCTTTCCAATCAAGATACTGAACCACTGATGGTGTTTCGACTTTCATATCTTTACACAATTCTTCTAGCTCTTTTATTTTCTCAAGTGAAACTAAAATTTGTAAATCACAATCTTCTGTTAAAGAAGGGAAATTCGTCTCCAGATTCAGTTTGAAATTTTTTATATCTACCATAATTTTCTCTTCAGTTTTGGTCAATTCTGATTCTGATTCTTTAGACTTATTTTTGACGTCTGTCATGATTCTCTCACTGCTAGCCTTTATATCTGCTATAATTTTATCAGTTTGTTTGGTTATTCTGCTACAAGCATCTTCAGTAAAACGCTGGAGTGTCTCTCTCGCTTCTACTAACACCACATGAGTTTCTTCCAAGTCTTTGGTTTTATTTTGGATGAATTTCTCTGAGGTTAAAACTAGCTCTGTAGCTTTTTCTTTCACAGTTTCACATTCTACATCTAAATACTCGTGACCGTTGTGTTCTTTCAGAAAACATATATGACATAAAACACAGTGACAAGTTAGACAATAGTAGTCTATTGGTCTCTCTCTATGACGTGGACAGTGATATTTTACCTTTGAAGAGGTTTTGTCTGTTAGATGTGTTGTAGGTGATGTTGTACTAGTAACATGTGTTGTGGGTGATGTTGTAACTTGTGTTGTTCGTGGTGACGGTTCAACAACAAAATTGGAAATAAACATCTTAACACCACCTTCTGGAATCTTAACATCCTGCTGACAGATCGGACAGGGGAATGTTTCTGTTTTATCACCAATATATGTCTCAATGCAGCCCAGACAAAAAGTATGACCGCATTGTAAAATTTTTGGCTTTTTAAAACCTTCACAACAAATAGAACATTCTGGTGTGTTACTCACTGAAGCTGTGGCCATTTTATTCTTCTAAAACACACTGAAGAAGTTCTGTTTGATTTCTACTAACAGTCACATCATATACTGGTTTAGATTTCTTAGAAATTGCTTCTTGAGTACTTCCTTCTAGAGACGATTACCAATAACTTGTTTGATCTGCCACAACTTGAACTAGGGACTTGACAATTGAAAGGTTCCTCGCTATGAATATAACAGTTCCTACAAATAATGACACCACACTAGTTAATCCCTTGCTATCAATATAAACTATCAATCCTATACAGAATAACATGTTCTGTCCACCACTAGTCAAGTTTTATACTGGTTTTGATTTTTTATAAAAGGTTTATCAGTATAAACTATCAATCCTACACAGAATAATTAGGTTTCCAGGAAAAATTACGTCACATGTTTCTCAGAAATAACTTGTCTCACTTGATATACAGGTCATACAATGTGTAGAAATATCTTGTCGTGTTACTAATTGTATGATAGTTAGTATACCTTATTGTATCAGCCTCTATTTGAAATATAGGTCAGTCAATAAATAGCAGTGAATGATATGTCACAGTGACCAAATTTGTGATTAACAAGGAAAGAATATTTTAAAACATATTTTATAATCACAACAACTATGTTTCTTCATGTACATTAATTATAGTATTCTTATTTATACTAACACTAACAATCAATTGATATCATTTTATTATTAAATTAGAATAATTATTTATTTGTGGTCAGTTATAAAATAGCTCACCATGCCCGTGGTTTTGAGAGAAATATTGTTTCTTAATAATATCAGAATTTCCAGTCTGTTTCAATCAGTTCCCATAACCAGACAGCACCC